CAAAAAAGCATTACATTACACTTTTTGATATTCAGGAACGGCTAAGAGCCCAACATGAGGCTGAGGAGGCGAAAAAACGACACAATGAGCATGAGAAATTGAAACATCCTGGAAGCCGCGACCAACTCGAGGAGGTCTGGGAGGATACTGATCATGTAAGTTCGACATCTTATAATAAATGGTATTCTTTTGAATTATTGTTCGCGGTATTCGAAACGAAAAGGCAAAGATGAGTCTGCAGCTTCGTAAATATGACTGTACGAAAGAAGCTAAAGGGTCCCAGTGAGTTCATTAAGTTGGAAGGGAAAATATTGTCCAAGAAGTCACTCAAAAATTAGATTGATATATATCCTCTTTTTCGGATCTACCATTATCATTTCATCAGACTCGTGACTTCTCAATGAGGTGAGGGTTTGAAAAATTAAGACAGAGGGCAAAACGGTGAATAATCATGAAAGTAGACGTTTAAATTCATGCAGGAGCACATGTGTTCATTTTTTCCGTATTTATTATAGAAAGCGAAATTGAGAAGAATTTGTCGTGGCGATGTTTGGACTTTGGAGTTATTACACATTACATTACGGTTGTTAATGAACCTGTCAAAGCTCGGGAATTCAAAGTGAAAAGCGGTCGGTAGCTGAGGAGAAATATGGTTTTTTTAGTAGTCCTCAGAAAAAGGCGCAAAATGTTGCAGCTGGCTAGGCCGTGCACTTTGAATTGATGACATCTGAGACTCCTATAATGGACCTTCCATTAAAATGTACCGAGTTTTCTGCCGTTTTCTTTTTGACTTACGGCTTTTGGAGTTTTTGTAGATTATTTTTGGCGATAGTGATGTAATTCGAAAGCTCGACATATTCTGCACATTTTCATATGTGACACTTGTAAGTTTTTTTCAGCACAGAGTTGAGACGCGAGCGAAAGAAGATTATTAGTGCTCACAAGTATATTTATAATGTGTGTATGGAATGTATAATTAATACGATGTACTGCTCTGGGACTTTTCTAACTTTTCAAGGCGTGGCCGCGGCGAGCGCGGACGAGTCGATGGCACTACTCTCCCCCCCCCCCCCCCCCCGCCCCCTGAAAGCGGCCTTCACAGCCGCCCGCAACAGCGGGAGCGCTGCCGGCACGCCTTGAAGTGGGAAAAAAGCCTCGGAGCTGTAGTACATCTAATGCTTTTTCTTCGCATCCAAGTTTTATAATGGAACAGATATTACACATATGTGACAAACGAAAAATTGTGCTTCTTGATAGACGTCAAAGTCATCAAGAAACCAGCAGAAATTTGAAAAGCCCTTCGTCAAAAAACAGCGGAGATTTCTGCTCAACTCTTACACATAAACGCACATTGCTGGGATGTTTCTTTTTTGTAATTGTAAGTCTTTAAGTGTGGTCCCGAAAAGATTTTTTGCTATTGTTTTTTGTTGCTTCAGTGCTTTCCACCATGTAAGGTATATCACACTAAGATAGTTTTTCCTTGAAATTTTTTTCCTGAAATAACCTTGTTCTAGATGGATAAGGACAATTTTGATCCTCGAACATTCTTCGCTCTTCACGATCTCAATGGGGATGGGTTCTGGAACGCCGACGAATTAGAAGCTCTTTTCCAAAAGGAACTCGAGAAAGTCTACAACGAAACTGATCCTGATGATGATCCACGAGAACGGTGCTTGCAAATGTTCTCTCGTTCTACTTCATCAATTACTCAGAACTTTTTAGCATGGAAGAAATGTATCGAATGCGTGAACATGTGACCAAACAAATGGATAAGAACGGCGATCGCCTGATTTCTCTGGATGAGTTCCTTCAGGTAAAAATGCTCCAGCTTTCTAGTGCACGGTCATTTTTCACGTATTTTACTTTATAGGACACGGAAGCGCAAACGCCCAACAAGGACCCTGGATGGAAGGATCTTGGTGATCAACAGGTGTTTGAATGGTTCCCTTAACGGCATTTTATTCATCAAAGTGCAGACTGAATTTGTGCGCTGTTCTAGGTATACACCGATGAGGAGCTAAAGGAATTCGAGAGGGCTTATGCTAAAGACCAAGGTGAGTCACTGTGTGCCTATCTCTGCTTTACCTATTAGCTTTGTTGTTCCTCTTTTCGGATGGGTCTCTATTTTGTAAATTTTTAATCATTGGGTGAACGGGACTAACTATTATATCTTTGTTATGCTCCTAGATTTTGTGGGATGGTTCTCTTTTACCTTCTAAGAATCTTTTGGAGTGTTTTTTTTCGGTTTCATGGCCTTTTCGCATTCAAATGCGTGGCTGCAGCAAGCGTGGACGAGTCGCTAGTGCTCTTGCACAGTTCGCGCGCCTCTTGAAACAGCCTGAACGCAGCTGATCGCAAAAGCAGGAGTACATCGTGGTGCCGTTTTTATACGGCTGTAGATGCTGTCATCAGTTTGGAGTTATTCCGTAGTAGTGTCACAGACATCAAAAACAGCTGATGAGTTTTTGTTGAATAGACCTGTCTAGTGCAAAGTGAAATCAAATTTGTAAATCTGGTATCAGTTGTTTTGCACAATTTTGGAGTTTCCGTTGGTAATCAGAGCCAGAGTCCATTTTGTGCCTTTATTCCAGCATGCTTACTTTGTTTCCCACTGCTAATCACATTTCGTGTTGACTTGGGAACACTCATGAGATCGGCATGCCGCATGTCGATGCATGACTATGTACGGAGACGGGCGTGGCTTGGACGAGTTGTTGCCATCGCTGATGCCGGTAGTGGGAGATTGGGGAGGGGAGCAGTCATGGACTCGTTCACATTGACATTAGAGCGCACAGGCCGTAATTGCGACCTCATGCTGTGGCTGGACAAGTCTTCCGGATCACTCATCTACTAGAATTCAGGAATTCAGCAATTGATCGATCTGGTAAAATCTCAAAAGCTTGGTGGATTTCAAAGATTGGAAAAATGTTGGTCTGATGCCAAGGCAATAGAATCGTAATGAAATATGGTGCGCGGACGAGTTGTCCGGTTGGTTTACGGACTACTTATTTTTCCTCAATGGTCCTGCAGCGATAACTAGAGCAGACGATTAGAGAATGCCGTAGG